CTCACTCGGGTCCGGCCCGGGTCCCGGCTCCGGCTCCGGGTCCGACTCGCTCTCGTCCTCGTCTCCCGAGTCCAGCAGGAGATTCCGGCCTGTCTCCCTCCCCTCTCCTCCTCCTCCTGCGCTGGGGGCTCTGGATTCTCTGGAACACAAGACAGCCAGTGAGAGGCTGACACCCGCGGGCCCTGGCTGAACCCCACTTCCCTCGTCACGCGGGGCGCAGGGAAGCCCCCCCACCCTCCCACGCCGAGAAGTCCGGTGTGCGCCAGCTGCTCTGGTGGTCACACTCCAGAGGGCTGCTTCTCTCCCAGCGCTCCCCTGCCCGCTGGCCAGTATTCCTGACGCCCTGCTGAGGAACAGACTCTGCGCTGATGGACCCCAGTCCAGAACTGAAGCCAGAGGGGAAAAACAATGTGGAGAAAGTGCAGACTCTGCACACAAGGGTCCCAGAACAAAAACGGAAACACGCCACGGGCACACGTCACGTGCTCCCGGTGGGGAACGGGTCTGAGTGACGTCTGGACTCGGGTCCGAATGACGCCAATAGCGCTGCAAACCTGCGCCGACTCGCGACTTTCTCACCGTTACCAGAGGCGGGGATACCGCCTGTTCTCACCCTGTTTCTTACAGCTGCACACGCCCAGGCAGAGCCACCGACATCAGACCCAAATTCAGAGACCTACTGGCAGTGCTCTTCCCACCCCTGACCCCGCTCGGCAGGGTGTGCGCTGAGGACTGACAGGCCCTCCTGCCTGAACCCTTACACCTGCCTCCTGCCACCTGCCCCGCTCACCTTTCAGCCGCTCCGCAACCCTCCTTGTCGTCGCTTTCTGACCCGGACTCGGAGTCGGACGACACGCCATAGCCTACCAGCGCCATGACGGCCGGAGAGTCCACTTAAGTCGGGCGGGGGGAAGGGAGATCGGGGTGTGCAGATATTTCAATCCACGCTGCTCTCTGCCGGGAATACGCCCCTGTTGTAAAAGGTACTCAGTACGTAAGCACAGTGTTTACTCTCTCCGTCGGCCTGCTTGAATGAAAACCACTCCGTTTCCACGAGGGTCTAAAATAAAATACCCCCTCTGGGCTTCTGTAAATGAAGTGGTCCGTTTGGTCTTCCTGGTGGCTGGGCAGTGAGACTACATTTCCCGACAGGCATTGGCGGTCGGAAGAGGGTCGATAGATGCACACGTATTAGCGTACAGAACAGTTAGCCCCGATAGCTTAAACCTATGCTGTGAGGTTACTTAATAATTATAAACGAAGTTCTAACTCTATCCTGCTAACTTTGCATTTATTTACCATTGATCACTTTTTGAACTTTTCTAAGAATAGGTGTTACAGAAGCGGGTACCGAAGTAAAGCGTGCATCTCAGAAGAAATCTACTAAAATCCAATCAATATATTAAGGAAATAAATCTCTTTAATCTTGAAATCCTGAACAGGAAAGTCTTTCTTTATTTTTCAACAATGAAACACAAACCAGAGGACATGCGTGGAAAGTACATGAAGTGCATTTAAAAGTGGAACAGGAGACACTCCTTTACACAAACGGTGGTAGGGTCGTGGAACAAACTACCAAGCCTTGATTTTGAAGCCAATACCCTGGTTTCTTAAAGGACACAGCTGGATGAGCTGAGACCAAGAAACCACCATCTACTATCTCGTCTGTGACCTGTCTTGTGTCCTCATAGTTCTGGTCTTGTCAAGCAGAAAGTGTGGTTGGATCTGGGGCAGAGAAGGGGACAGAGGAGTGAAGCTTTCACTGAAGGTTTGCCCTTAGAGAAGCATGGAGAGACCAGCGAGGAGAGGATGGTTTTGGAACTGTGGTGGTCACGGTTTGAGTGGGGGGGTTTGTTGGTGGTGGTGGATGGGATCCCCATTACCTGTAAAGCGCTTTGAGTGGAGTGTCCAGAAAAGCACTATATAAGTGTAAGCAATTATTATTATTATTATTATTATTATTATTACTACTATTATTATATAGAGTAAAATATGGACTTGGATCGTTTTGCGGCATGTAAAGAAATGGCCAGGTTTGCTCTATGCGTGACCGTCAACCCGTCTCGCAGCCGGGAGCGGCTCTGTAGCGAGTTTGTCCACACTTTCCCGAAGATCCGAGTCTCTCGGTTTAGTTTCTCTTCTCTCTCCACCGGACGGCCCAGCCCCTCTGCCTCCAAGCGTCACAGCCTGAGGGCGATGCCGTGAGATGCGCATTAAGACTCATCTGGCTGTCCTCCCCGACCAGAAGCGTCGTCGGCTCATTCAGTTTTTGCTACCACGCTCGCTCGGGAAGTCGCTGTTCCCGAAGTCGCGCCTGTGCCCATCCCAGAACACACGACAGGACGAGTCTGCAAGGGCCGGTGAGCCGGACTTTAACCCTGTACATGCCGCCGCCTCGGTTGTCGACAGGATGAGCAGAAGACTCCGGGCTCACCTGGGTGACGGGGTGGGATCTTAAAATTGTGCTTACTGACCCCCTGAGCGGTGCGACGAGCGAATATCGCGCACTGACATTCAGTTGCAATTTTCAGCTTTGAAAAGGCGTAACGCAGAATGTACACATCACACCTTCAGTTTAAACACAGTGTTGAAGCCCGCTG